AGGCCAATGGCTGCAGGCTTTCCTTCTGAGGAGCTCTGGGTGGGCCTGAACCCCCAGCCTCTCAGTTTGTAGCAGCAGGCTTAACCGTCTCTGCTCTCCTGGGACTCCACTGAAAGAGTCTTAGAGATACCGGTTAAAGAGCCAGATTCCTTGACTATAAGGTTTTGTTTGGGAAAACTCTGGCTTTTTAAAATAAATCATTTTATTGGGGGCTCTTGCAGCTCTTATAACAATCCACACATCATTTGTATCTAGTACATTTATACATATGTTGCCATCATCATCTTTCTACTTGAGCCCTTGGTATCAGCATCTTTTTTCCCTCTCCCCCCCACCCTTCCACGCTTGTGACCCTTTGATTATAAATTATTATTATTTTCTTACACCATCTGCTGTCTCCCTTCACCCATGTTTCTGTTGTTCATCACCCTGGTGGGGGTAGGGGAGGTTATACATCGATCATTGTGATCGGTTCCCCCTTTGTCCCCCCCACCTTCTCCCTACCCTCATGGTATCAATACTCGCATTATTGTTCCTGAGGGGTTTATTTGTCCTGTATTCTTTGTGTCCAGAGCTCTTATCTGTACCAGTGTACATGCTCTGGTATAGCCGAATTTGTAAGGTAAAACTGGGGTCATAATAGTGGGGGGAGGGGGGAGACATTAAAGAACTATAGCAGTGGATCTCAACCTTACTAATGCCACGGCCCTTTAATACAGTTCCTCATATTGTGGTGACCCCCAAACTATAAAGTTATTTTTGTTGGTACTTCATGACTGTAATTTTACTACTGTTATGAATCAGGTGGCCCCTGTGAAAGGGTTGTTCCAACCCCAAAGGGGTCACAACCCACAGGTTGAGAACCGCTGAACTAGAGGAATATTTTGTTTTGTCGGTGCTATACTGCACCCTAGCTGGCTTGTCCCTTCCTTGTGACCCTTCTGTGAGGGGATGTCCGACTGTCTACAGATTTGGGTCTCTACTATGCCCTCTTCATTTGCATCTATATGATTGTCTGTTTTGGGTCTTCTGATGCCTGATTCCATCATCACACAGGCTGGTGTGCTTCTTCCATGTGAGCTTTGTTTCTTGCCTGCTAGATAGCTGCTTGTTTAACTTCAAGTCTTTCAGACCCCACGTTACATCTTCTAATAGCTGAGCACAATCAGCTTTCTTCACCTTTGCTTATGCACAGCAATTGTGTCGGGATGGTGAGCATCACAGAATGCCAGGTTGTTTGAACAGTGTGTTCTTGTGTTGAGGGAGGACTTGAGTAGAGCCACTGTCCATCTGCTACCTTGATACTTAACCTATAAATATATGTACATAGACCTATATCCCTATTGTTATATTTTAGTATATTTACATATATACATTGCCTATAATTATACCTCTATAAATGTCCTTTGCCTCTTAGTTCTTTCCTCTATTTGGTTTGGAAAACTCTTAAGGGTAGAATCCGTTGTTACATTAAGATCTGTCACCGCCCACAAATATTTCTCTGAATATCGTTGACGCAGGCACTTTCCTAGGGTGAGGTCACGCTTCCTCATGGAGTGTGCGGCTGTAAGACTGGAAGCTTTGCCAGCAGTGTTTCCAATCCCAGCAGTGACTCTCACAACAGACAGGTTTCAGCAGACCTCTTAGATGGATTAAGGTCTTGTGTTAAACTTCGAAAGATTAAACAATGACAACGCTGTGGACCACAACAGAATCTTGTCGGAGGGTGTGCTAGGAAATAGTACCTGAGGCTAGAGAAGGCCCTCAGGGTTCACAATGGTTGCAACAGTGGCTGCCAAGGGCCATAAATAGGGCTTTTCTTTGGGTTGTATATTGGGTCACACTGAGTCAGAGCCCATTCAACTGCAATAACACGACATGAGAGGGATAGCTTGAAACTTAAAAAGTCGATCCATCAAGTTGTCTTGAGGGTGAGCCATCGTTAGTTGACTTAATGTTTTCCATCTGATTCTTAGCAGGAAAGAACAATTTATTCAATCAAAGGAGGTGGTAGGTAGGTAGGTTGGTTGGTTGGTTGGTTGGTTGGTTGGTTGGTTGGTTGGTTGGTTTGGTTGCAAAGGAAATATTCTCTGTGCAATCTCTCCACCTTTAACGCTAGTTTTAAATCCAGAGTGACTACACTTACTGATTGTTCTTGATGATGCAGCGGTGGTGATGTGCATGCGTGCGCCCCACATTTCCTGTTAAAATCGCACACCAACTGTAGCTACTAGTCATGAGTTAGGACTCAGGCAGGCCCAGGACCACATCTCAACCCACTGTTTCCCCAGGCCGTGAAACCTTAGTGAAACCATGTGATCTCTCTGAAGTCCATTTTCTTGTTCTGTAAAGCGAAGGCAAGAATAGCCGACCGTCAAGGTCATTGGGGAAAATCGAGGAGACGGTGCCCGCAAGGACCTTGGCACCTTGTGTGAGGCTGTTGCTGCTGCTGCTGTGTGGCCCAGTCTACACACAAAGAAACTGTCTGCAGAAACGGATGCTCAGTGGCCCAGGATTCGAACCGCAGAATCCATGGCTCTAAAGCCCAGAGGCCCTTAAAGGCTGCTGTAGAACATGTACTGGGAGGGGCCCTTTGCCAACCAGTGTTGGAGTTTTCTCCAGCAGCTCTGATGCTAAGGAGAGACCTTTGCCTCTTGATCCTTAAAATAAGCCCTTAAGTCTTCCAGCCAATCTGGTTGCCCATTTTTGAACTTGATCCCATCTAAATATGTCCCCAGTGCCTGTGAAATTCACAAGTAAGCTTAGCCATCTAGGACAGAGTGTCCCGAGTTTTATGAGGTAGGGTTACACGTTCCCTGTCACGTGAGGCCCTTCTTCTGGGATGAACTAGCATGGCACCCTCTCCTGGACGTGACTTGTGACACACCCGCGTCTAAGGTGTGCTTGAGAGCCTGTCTGGTCTGTCACCCTGCTCTGTGGTTTCTCGTCCCAGAAACAGAAAATGCCATCCCTTTCTTTTCTTACACATCTGAAACGAGTTATGGAGTTGACACGGGCATCTTAATCCTGATCGCCTTACACACACACACACACACACACACACACACACACACACACACGCACACGCACATTAAAGCACACCCTTCCGTCCTCAAAACAGAGAAATTACCAAGATGTCTCCTAGAAGAACCATGGCTGGTCTTGTTTGTCTGGCTTTGTGTGTGGGTAGACCTGGCTGGCCAGTCAGCCACTCTCCATCATGAATTGGGGGGGCAGTACTGACCTCTGTATGGCTCCCGAAGGAATTCTACTAAACTTCCGGACACTTCTTTCCCTTCCCTGGAAAACGGCATTCCATTCTCAGTTGTACTAGGCCAAGCGAGCCCGCTCAGTCTATTACAGTGGACCCGAGCATGTAACGCCCACCCTGCACATTATTAATGTGTTGGCCACTGTCCTTTCAAGCTGACTGCTTTGTGCTGGATTATTTGGTTTGGGGCTGTGGGGGGCGGGGGATGCTTTTACATTTATTGCATTGCTTTTAAAGTATTGGTGGCAGGTTGAAGGGGTGAATTTCTTAGGCCCGTCCTTAATTGTGTGAAGAATGGTGTTGCGTTTTTATTCTTGTAAGACGGAGTGTGAAAGTAGCTCATTTTCTCTCTCCCCCAGGATCTGTTAGACTCATCTGTACGTCTTCAATTCGCTTCTTGCCATCCTTTCTCCCTGCTTTCCCGTCTCCCTCCTGTCCTCGATCAGGAGCTCCTTGCGGGTGGAAATTTGGCCTCTTACTTCAGAATCACTGGTTGAACTGGCTGAATTTCGGAGCTTTCCCGTCACCTAAGTGTATAAAGACCATTATTTCGACAGTAGTTTTATGGAACGCAAAACTATCCACATTGTCTCCTCTCAAGCAAAATGAGCAGCCACAGGAACTAATTGGGAATTATACAATACGTGTGCACACGCGGGTGGATAAACGTCGGTGTGTTTTACACCAGGGTGTACTTTATAAAATCAGGGGCAAGCGAGCGGTGTAGGCTTTAAAAGATGATTCGCTTATCTTTAATCACTCTGACTCAGGATGGAGACTAGATTCTTTCCTCAGATTGTGCTTTTTCCTCTCACAGAATAGAGAACCAAGCCGAGGCTCGTTGGTTCTACCAAGAAAGGCAGTGAACTGTGTCAGATCCCTTTTAACCGGACAGTGAAACCAGAGTGTGTTTCGCTGAAAGGAAGGGAAGGGTTGCGATGGGGCTTGAGCTCTCAGAATGCAACTTGTACCTGGTTAGATGGCATACAGTCCCTTCGGCGTTCCCGTGGCTTGTCCGCAGGCGCGCCCGCTGCCCCAGCAGCAGGACAGATGCAGCTGTCTTTGCTTTGGTTGGTGGAAGCGCCATTCCCTCGCTCGCTCCATCTCTGATTTACTTGTGAATGTTCATCTGGCTGTATTTTGTGTTCAAAGACAATGCTTTTCTTTGGCATGGTCCACGGGAAGATAGACCTTCCTTGGTGGGGCATGTGAACAAGGAGACTTGGCAGGGTCCGTGGTCAATCTGGCTGCACGTGCTCCCTGAACCAGAAACTAGATAGTGTGATCACAGATGGGGCTTTTCTAAAACAGGATGAACCTGCCCAAGCTGTCCTTGAATGTTGGAATCATACCAGGGGGGGTATGACCCATTGAGGGCTCCTGACTCTGTATTCCAAGAGTACAAGTTCTATACTTAGAAGTCTGAGCGTCAGACAGTGAGCCCAAGAAGGCACTCAGGCTCAAGTTCATGATACGGAGTCTGTCTAGGCCTCCATCCCCAGTGGGAACGCTTCCAGTGGTCATAGCTCACTGGTGCCCCCTTGCGGTATACAAGCCTCCTCGCGTTCCATTGCCTTGGGTGCAAGCCCTACCCAGAGGAGGGCAAAGTTAATGTCCAGGATGGAAAGCATGAAGATTGTTTTCTGAATTTCATCCAGGCTTCTTATCTTCTATCTCACTCACTCACTCTTTCTCTCTCTCTCTTTCCCTTCTCCGCGCCCCCCACCAGGCCAAAGAATTGCCAACTTTGAAGGACAATGATTTCATTAACGAAGGCCAAAAGATTTATATCGACGACAACAACAAAACCGTGTTCTTGGAAAAACTGAAAAAGGACGTCGAGGTAAGAGACATCCCATCCAGGGCGACTCAGCTATACCCAGTCCAGCACCTGTGGTTTTAGGAGCTGTTTAAAAAAAACATTTATTTGAATCTGCAGCCAAAGAAAAACTACTTGTTATACACGATCAAGATCAGGTATGAAGGGGTGTGTCCCATGATCTCCTCAGGCCTGGGAAAGAAATAGGCTGATTCCTCTGTCCTCTCCTTTAGAGAACAGGCAAAAGACAGCAAGTTCCGCCTCGTGACCGACCTCCCACCCCGCCACCTCCTGTTCTCTGTCCATAGGTGTGGTCTGTATGCAGTTACAGCCAAAGGAAGGCCAAACTGGGGAGGGGGTGGGGGGGTGTTGGCAGAGTATTGAATTCTCCCCAACCTGTCACTCGCTCACTGCCTCCGAATCCATTCTGACTCTTAGCGACCGCTAGGACAGTGCCGAGGGCCCCTGTGGGTTTCCAAGACGAACTCTGCAAGGGAGTAGCAAGCCTTGTCTTTCTCCCAATGCCAATCAGAACATTTAAAAAAAGCCAATTTTTTTTTTGTTGTAATAAGTGTTTGAGCCCCGCCCTTTTTCCATACCACATCTCAAGGAGCCCTGGTCGTGTAGTACTTATGTACTCTTTGGCTGCTAACAGAAAGGTCAGCAGTTTGAACCCTCCAGTCCCTCCTGGGGAAAAAAGAGGCAATCGTCGGCTTCTAGGAAAAAATGACAGCCTTGGAAACCCTGCGGGGCGAGTCTCATTCTAGTCTGTCCCTCAGGGTCACCAGGAGCAAGCCTTCGTCAGCAGCAGTGGGCTGGGGGAGGGGAAGCCACATCTCAGTGTGGGTAAACCTCGGTAGCCAGTGTCGGGCCTTGATATTTCCACCAGCCTCTGTGAACATTGGGTCCAGCAAGCCAGCCTTCAAGTTCTCGTGGGAAAACGGCCCCCAAAAGGGCAGTTCTGACCACTTATGGGCAGTGGATAACATAACACACAGTAATGGACTTCTGATCTATCATGGCAGTGTTTTCTTTTTTTGTTTCTTTAAATCATTTTATTGGGGGCTCGTACAATTCTTATCACAATCCATACATACATCAATTGTGTAAAGCGCATTTGTACATTCATTGC